TATTATTATTTTGCAAAGACCTTTTGTCTGCAAAGACAAGGGGGGATTATCTTCTATATCTGTTTGCTCAGTGTGGTGTTTCCATTAAAGCATCTCCAGCAAGTTGATGAATCTGGACAATCTTTCCATTGTTCAATTTGGGAGGTATCTTTTTTTTTTTTTTTACTTTTTTATTGTTAAAAAGAATGGAAAGCCATCCATTTTATGTAGAACGAACTGTAGGTGGCAGCCAGCTTAGATATTTCCAAATTCTGGAATCATTTATTTATTTTCAGTCTGCCTAACATGCACAGCAAAGGATTAAACAAGGATTACAAGGTTTCCCCCACTTCCTGTCTTTTTTTCTTGGTCGGATGTACCTGGAACTTTTGAGGCTTCCAGACTGCTGAGTTGCTGGTCACAGTTTACTTAGATATCTCAAACACCACTTTCCTTGTCCTAGGGTACTACTTTATCCCTTTTCTCTTGGAAACACTGTAAGAAGAAATATCCTTCTGGGTTCAGCTCCAAGTAGGGAAAAAGACACTGGAAACATGGAGACTGCTTGGAAAGATGGTTTAATGGTGGACAGGATCACATGGTTTGAGTTCCTGAACAGAAAAGGGCCGAGACACAGTGAGTCCCCGGGTTTTATGCCCTCTCTGGCTTCCTGGGGCCCAGAAAGAGTATCCTGATTGGTTGTCAGACTCCCAGGGGGTGGGGGTCTTAACTAGCCTTGCTGGCTGATGTAATCTTCCCAGGTGCCACGTGGCGAGTTTCTGTTGCTAGATGGGTCCTATTGTGTTGCAGAGATGATGGTCCATTGACAAAGATTGAGTTTCTGCCTCTGGCCCATTGACAAAGGATGGGGGCAGGAAGATGGGAGCTGCTTTGTCTTTAAAACATACTTCTCCATTTCTCATCCAGGGAAACATAATATTCTGCCTTTTTAATATTTCCCAAAATACTTCATTCTTCTAAGAAAGGGGTGGGTGCTAACTTCTTACAACACCATCTGAGTCTTGGTGCTTAGTCTCTATGGCAGAGATCTTTCAAACTTGGCAGCTTTAAGACTTGTGGACTTCAACTCCCAGAATTCTAGCTGGCTGGAGAATTCTGGGAGTTGAAGTCCACAAGTCTTAAAGCTGCCCAGTTTGAGAAGACTTCTGCTCTATGGAATTGTCCTTCCTTCCTTCCTTTCCTTCCTTCCTTCCTTCCTTCCTTCCTTACTTCCTTACTTCCTTACTTCCTTACTTCCTTTCTCCCTCACTACCTCTCTCCCTCTCCCCCCCTCCTTTCCATTCCATTCCATTCATCCTGATGTGATGTAGAACCTTGATGGTAAAGGTTTCCAACCCAGAGACCTTTTTTTAAATACAAGAGCATGCATCACCCCTTGAGAAATTATACAGATTCATATAATGTAATGGTGGAGGAGGCAACTTTGAAGAAAGAAGGCTCAAGCAATTTCTTATACATGTTGGGGTAATTTATGCAAATTTTTATACTTGTTCTATTGAATCCTTTGTCCTCTCTGAGCCTGGTATTCTCTCAGCTTGGTTCAAGCAGGAAACAATACCCCAATCAAGGAACAACCAAGGACAAAACTGTACCCACAGTAATACTACTCTAGGCAAGCTACTCTATGTAAACAAGGAGCAAACATCATAGCCCATAGCATTGGTGATATTATGTTCAAGTAATGAAATAGCTGCAAGTTCAGAGAGCACAAAGTACTCAACTGTTCAACCCACAGCTACATACTGTATATTCTCTTCTACTGTGCTGTTTCCATTTTCTGCGGCTGTTATTTTTATGTAACACAATTGTTAGGCAGTATCCAAATTGAATGAATAACTAAATAAACCATTGTTAAAATAGAATGGTATTGGAGAGCTCTGGATTCACCAAGAGAGAAACCAGTGATTATTATCTGAGGTCTCAGCCTACCTCTAATTTAATTACCAGTTAGAATTTTGTGTAGTTACTTGGTAACAAGCATTTAATACTCTGTGATGTCATTCTATTTAAGCCATGGGGATTTCACAAAAGCTGCATTTGGTTTGGCCCTGAAGCTTAATCAAATTTTAATTCATTTCATGTTGCATCAAATGGTCATAACCTTTTCTTTAATGGATGATTGGTAACAGTTTTGTAGCTTTATAGCAGGGAGGATACAGTTTATTGACCTAAGAAACAAAACAGTTAAAGTATTCATTCCTATTAACTGTGAACAGACACATTTTTACTGCAGGCTAATTGAAAAGCCCCAAGGGAAATGCCCTATGCAATTCACCGACTTGATTGCTCTCAATGGATAGAATCAGCATTGCCTAGACTTTTTCTTTATGATGACAATTTTCATTTAAATAAAGTCGTTTTTCTGATTCTATTTACTTCTTCAGAAATTCATTTATTTGTTCAACTAATGCATTCTATGTTTTAAGATGATAGATAGATAGATAGATAGATAGATAGATAGAAAGATAGATAGATGATAGATAGATAGATGATAGATAGATAGATAGATAGATAGATAGATAGATAGATAGATAGAGACACAGACACAGATAATAGACAGACAGACAGACAGACAGACAGACAGACAGACAGACAGACAGACAGACTGACTGACTAGTCAGTATGGAGAGAAAAATTGTTATCAATGGCACTGAGAAAGCTCTGGTTTGGGGAATTTTATTCTAGATGTCTTTTCTTTGTGATTTTTTTAAAAAAAATGAAAATATTATTTATATTTTTAAAATGTTTGGGTTGATTATAATCTACAGGGATTATAGGCATTTTTCACTCTCACCTTCTTACTTTGTCCTATTAAATGTATGAGTGTCAGTTTCTAGAAATTCAACCCAACAGTCGATATAGAAGCCAAATGCCTTGCTTTTAACAACAAGCGGAGAAAACAGATAACCAAAGGTACTGCTATTAAATAAACCATTTTCAAAAAAGAAGATACATGTCCATCTATTCACTAAGAAGATCCATAAATCCAAATCCACTGAAAGAAATGTCATTGATATAGTGAGCAAAACTCTATTTGCTCAACAGAATATTATTTGATTTAAGATGAAGAGAGGAGATGAAGTAGGGAAAAATATAACTGAACTTAAAACAATTCTAGATATTTCCTCTTCCCTCCCTCCCACTAATAATTGTGTGCATGTGCCATGGTTGCATATGGGTTTGTGCATATAGTATACACTAGCCAAAAGTCATACTCTAACCAAGATAAATGGATAATGCTATGATTAATAAAGCATTTGTGCAAAATCAATTGATTCCCTGCCTGTGAATACTGATCCCCCAAATGCAGAGGCCATTCTCACATACCCCAAATTCCCCCACTGTTTTTCACATACTGTATATCCAAATCCCATCTCTCCTTCCAAGCAGCAATAGTAAAATGAATGGGAGAAGAAGGCTCGTGCAGTGGGCAGTTTTGAGTCCCCCAAAATGGCCCCTGTAACGTCACTGCTCCACAAGTTGGATTGGTTGCCAATCTGCTTCCAGGTACAATTCAAGGTGTTGGTGAGCACCTTTAAAGCCCTTCATGGCATGGGTCGAGGTTACTTGAGGAACCATCTGACCCAGTGGCACTGCCCTGTCCCACCTGTGCTGGCAGAAGAGGCATGCTGCGGGTCCTGTTAATCTGATTATTTTAGCTGGCAGACTCCAGGATGAGCCTTCTCTGCTGCTGCTCCTGCCCTCTGGAATGTTTTGCCCCCTTCCCCCCAATATGTGTTGGCCCCAACCCTCCTATCCTTTCATAAGGGCCTAAAGATTTGGCTGCCAGTTGGTCTGGGCTCAAATGGGGGACACCACAGTGGAGGTGGTTGATCAAGTAACAACACAGATCCTACCTCGTCTCATTCCTCCCCTGCCCTTCCCACATGACCTTAGATTTTAATCTATGGTTTTAATTTATTTATGTTTTAATGCAGATGTATATTTTTATGACTGTAAACCACCCAGAGTTACCTTATGGTAAGATGGGCAACCAATAAAATTTACAAACAAACCAAGCCAAGCCGAGCCGAGCCAAACCAAACCAAACCAAACCAAACCAAACCAAACCAAACCAAACCAAACAAACCAAACCAAACCAAACCAAACCAAACCAAACCAAACCAAACCAGTACAATACAGTACAGTACATTGGAAATTGAGTGAGGCTGAAGGGTGCCTTCATTTCAAAAGAAAGGGAGGATCACAATGGGACAGAGATGGCAAGAAACAAAGAAAAAGAGATGTTTTTGGATGTATAGTAGAGAGTACAGCTATAGAAAGCCTTCACAAGAAGTGGTTTACATCTGACAGAAACATCTATGACAGGAGTCCCCAACCTCCGGTCCATGGCCCAGTGCTGGGCCGCAACCCATTCAGAATTAGGCCACAGAAGTGGTGGGTGAGTGCACATATGTGTGATGCATGCAAAGCTGCATTTGTGAAAGCAGTGCACATGTGCAAGACCATCCCTTCTCCCCACCCACTGCCGCTGCCACCTCCACCAGTCCACCAAGTCATGCTGATTGATGAGATACAGCTTGCTGTCTCAACAGCCATTCCAGGAAATGCTTGAAGTGCACAGATACAGGAGGGTCTCTGTCCCTGCATGATCCACATTTTACTTCTGTCAGACAGAAACGGCAGCTTCTCCGTTTCCATAGCCAATAGGTTCAGTCTCTCTTCAACAGGTCTGACACAACTCTCCCACTTCAAAGATAATCAGTTTGTGAAAACCCTCACCTTCTGTATAAATAAATATTGTACTTTAAAAATATCTCTGTTTCAAGTACCCACTTCAGAGGCTGAAAGCTGTTATTACTTTCTTGTAAATATTATTCCGAGTGATGATTTTGCTGGGCTAGATTCCTGGGGTTTGATGTTCATTTTAAATGAGAGAAAATTCAGGAATTATTTTACTGGCATGAAAGAAATGTAGTATAAAAAGGTGACACAAGGAACCTTGGTGTCCATTGTTATGTCATTCTATATTCAGTAGTGTAGCCAATCAGAAACAAGAGAGTCAGTTTTGTCTAGTGGTTAAGATACCAGGCTAGAAACCAAAGGATTGAAGTTTTAGTCCTGTTTTAGGCATGAAAGCTAGTTACGTAACTTTGAGGCAGTCATTGTCTCTTAATCCACAATGTCTCTTAGTCCACAATGTCAGGATCGAGTGGCAAAATTGTCAATCAATTCTTGTCACAATCAATGGATCAACATTTGATGGATTCAAACAAAGACAGAACCTGCACACATGGGAAAATGCTAGGAAGAAGAAAATCCAATCAAAAGTAAGTTCCACAAAGGTTTACAGCCAAGTTTCCATCACAAACCTTCCATTATTAATTTGGAGTTTTGATTCAAATAAACAATGTAACTCAAAGGCTATGTGAGCATCCTAAACCAATAAAGGCAGTGGTTCTTGAATATTACACCATTGGAGTAGATAGTTTAATAAGAAAATGGCTACTTAATTTTATTCATGTATGTAGTCTTTGGAAAATCAAAGTGAACAATTTGGAACTGTGTTTAGTAATAAACCCCTAATTTGCAGATGATTGTTTTGGGTATAGTTATTTTTCAACAGGATAATCTGAAAACTGATTTTATGTGGAATAACATTTCAGGAGTGGAGAGTATTTAATATCATGTAAATTAAGCTATATTCTATTCACTGCTGCTTTTCTCTCAGAGAAAATTGAACGCTTGTGTTGACTCTAATAAATGTAGTAAGCTCTCATCTAAGTCAAGCTTAGTTCCTGGTAACTTCAAGGATATATCCAAGTACTAAACAGATACAACCTTGCTTGCTTATGTTTTTCAAGGTCACTCAAGGCAATAATATAGCATATCTTGATTGAAGAAGTTGATGCTAAGGATATCTAAGATGTCTCTGAATGTACACATCTTTGTCTCAATACTCTTTCTGCCATATGAAAAAAAGAAAAAAAGATACACAACATATGAAGAGCAATGCTGGAGCAGCTTTCTAAAATCAGGTCCACACAACTAGATTAATATTTGTGTTCCCAAAGAACTGATACTATGGGCTAATTGTTTTTAAGACACCTCTATCAATACCATTTCCTATCCCCAATTCTTCAAAAGGAGCTGGAAAGAACCATCAGCTTATCTTCATTGCTGCTTGAATTCAAAATGCTGAGAACAGCACAAGTCAATCAATTCTTCGTTCCATTCTAAGAAGAATGTTAAAGTTGGTTCACAGACTGATAAAGATGCAATGGACGATTAAATAAACAAGTAGTAGCAGGTTTCCTCATTACCAGTGAAAACAGCTGCTTCCTTTCCAGGGCACTGTACAATTGTGAGATAAAGACTCAGAAAGTCTCTACCCTAATGTACGCTGGGATACATTGCTTCTAAACCAAAAATCCATTTACTTCTTGGAATTCTTATGTCACCATTCTTTCATCTTAATAAATCTTGTTAAAGAAAATTCTGTAAATTCCTGCTTGGGGAGAAATTATCTCCATTTCAGGCAGCTGCCAAAGGTTTGACAAGGAGACTGCACAGAACAATATTCAATCATCTATGTTTTAGTCTGTATTTTCAGTTCCCCTGTGACTTCCCCTTCCCTCAATGAAGGGAAAGATACATTGGTTTAAGGACAGATGTTTGATCTTGCACATCCTTACTTTCTCAAATCACCTTTCTCTGAAGCACCTTTTGGCTTTGAATCTGAAATGCTGAGAGTCCTAAAAGTAATGATTCTGCTAATGCTTACAGTTGAGATGATCGAGTGTTGGGAAGATAAAGATTTGATACTTAAATGCTCAGTTTTCTCATAAGAGAAATGACTGAAGGTTACTGAGTTACTGTGGGAACTTTCAGTCATTCCTATAAGAGGAACAACTGAAGGTTACTGTGCTATTCCTTTTGAATAGACAATCTGATAATTGAGTATCAAAGAATCATAGTCAAAATAAATCAGTCAACTATCCTGCCTCCAAAACATATCAGCATATCAGAAGTATTTTACTAAAGATTTGCATGAGTTGATAGCTAGACTAACAATAGATGTAGATTATACCATCATGTAATGAAAAAGGCTGGCATTTTGCTGAAGGAGAGAAATGCCATTCTTACAATTTGGAGTGACCACTGTTCAGTGTCTTGCTTCATTAGAGTCCATATTATATATTTTGATTTTTGCTTAAATAATATTCAGAAAAGAAACTATGTTTGTTTTAATGTGCATGTGCAGGTTGGATCTCCATGTGATGAACTTCCACCCATTATGTCTTGTCCTGTCTTCAGATGCTATGGCGAATAAAACAATCCTCCCCCCCCATTTCCTGTGACACAGTAGTGGGTTTCAAATCCTGGTGCTACCAGTTCACTATCAGGAGCAAATGGGTGCACAGGCTTGTTTTGCAAGCGTGCGGTGCTTCTGTGCACGTGCAGAGGATTTTTTATAATGTTTGAGCGGGTGGGCGGAGCCTCCCACCGCTGCCACTACCAGTTCTCCTGAACCAGAGCGAACCGGTAGCAGCCCACCACTGCTGTGATAAGCCTTCTTTTCGTTAGCTAAACGTACCTAGTTCCTTTAGACATTCATCATATGATTTAGCTTCCAGACCCCTTATCATCTTTCTTGTTCTTCTCTGCACTTTTTCTAGGCCTCAGCGTTGTTTTTATATTGTGATCACCAGAACTGGATGCAATATTCCAAGCATGGCCTCATAATTGTAGTACAGAGTGGTACTATCACTTCTTGTGATCTTTTTTTATTTATACACTTTTTCTTTAATATACATAAGTGCTTAATGAACAGTGTATTGTCTGAGTCAATTGCTTATACAAAATACTGATAGTATTATTATTATTATTATTATTAATAATAATAATAATAATAATAATAATAATAATAATAATAATGTTTACTTATATGTAGTAGTAATCTTTCATCATTTACTTATAAAAGGTAAAGTTTCCCTCACACATATGTGCTAGTCGTTCCAAACTTTAGGGGGAGGTGCTCTGTTTCAAAGCCAAAGAGCCAGCGCTGTTGGAAGACATTTCTGTGGTCATGTGGCCGGCATGACTAAATGCCAAAGGCGCACAGAATGCTGTTACGTTCCACCAAAGATAGTCCCTATTTTTCTACTTGCATTTTTTACTGCTTTCGAAGTGCTTGGCAGAAGCTGGGACAAATAATGGGAGCTTACCCCATTACATGGCACTAGGGATTTGAAATGCTGAACTGCTGACCTTTCGATCGACAAGCTCGGCATCTTAGCCACTGAGCCACAGCATCCCTATTCATCCCTATTCATTTACTTACTTATTTATTTGTTTGTTTACTTGTACATAGCAATAATCTTTTATCTTCTAATTTTTACCTCTTTTATCTAACCACTGATAAAACAAATCCCATGTTAAAAAATATTCTGATTCTTCCTTGTCTTTTACTTTCAATATGAATCTATCCATCTCTGCAGATCTCTGCACATCCTAATATTTTTTAAATTATATTTTCATCCATGGGAATATCCTAATTTTTCCAATACTGTTCAAATATAATTCTTGCTGCTGTCAGCACGTGTAGTATTAAATATGTATTACCTTTATTATAGTTTTCTGGTATCATACTTAGCAAAAATATTTATGGCTTTAGGTTGTTTTATCATTTTTTCTAACCATGTATGTATTTTTGCCCAAATTTTTTTTGCCTTTGGACATGTCCACCACATATGATAATAGGAGCCCAATACATGCTTAAATTTCCAACATTTAGCAAACATGTTTTGGAACATCTTTGCTAACCTTGCTAGTGGCAAGTGCCACCTATAAAACATTTTATACAGGTTTTTCCTTGTAAGTAGTTGCCATTGTCAATTTATAATTTCTGTCCCAGAGTTTTTGCCATTTATCTAACTCTATGGTATATCCAAAGTTTTTTGCCCATACTATCATTATTTCTTTCATTTGTTCATCTTCCATTTTAATACTTAATAAATAACTATATATTTTCTTTATTAATTTTTGTCTGTCTCTAAAGATATCCGTTCAAGAGTTGTTGGCTCTTTGTAAAAACCTATGTCTTTTCATCTTTCTCGTATCTTGATCGTATTTGCAGGTGTGGCCACTATGCTAAATTCGCCCCTTGATTCTGCAATTCCGGGTTAGTTTTAAATTCCCTTTCTTCATTTAAAATGTCTTTATATGTTACAATTTTTTCCAAGTTGACAACGTTTGGATGTATCAGTGCTTCCTTCATAGAAAGCCAGACTGGTATTTTCATATAGTTTTTTGCTTTGACTTTTTCCCATACTAAAAGTAGAGCATTTCTTACATAATGTCTTTGAAAGTATCTGTGTATTTTATTCTTTTCATACCACAAGAAGGCATGCCACCCCAACTGAAGATCATGTCCTTCCAATAATAGTAATCTTCTATGCCTCAAATTTACCCACTCTTTCACCCAGGTAAGTACAGAAGCCTCGTAGTAAAGCTCCCAGTCAGGTAACCCAAAACCCTCATTACTTTTATTATTATTTTTTATTATTATTAATTTGATTTATATGCCGCCATTCTATGGAGACTCAGGGCGGCTTACAATGCGTTAAGCAATAGCCTTTGTATATTTTTATACAAAGTCAGCTTATTGCCCCCACAAACTGGGTTCTCAATTTACCTACCTTAGAAAGGATAGAAGGCTGAGTCAACCTTGAGCCTGGCGAGATTCGATCTTACTTTAATTGCAGACAGCTGGTGTTAAATTACAGTGCTTAGTCTGTTGAGCTATCCAGGCTTTTGAATTCTTGCAACATTTTCAGTCTTATTCTTACTCTTTTCCTTTGCCAAATGTATTCCAGAATTATTTTATTCAACTCCTCAAAATATTTTTTTTCTAGTTTTATAGGAATTGTTTGAAACAAAAAAGTAGTTTCGTCAGGATAGTCATTGATAGTTGCAGGTTCTTCCATTTATCCAAATCTAATTTAATTTGTTGCATTAATTTTGTATAGTTACCTTCTTTAATTGTTGCAGATCTTGCTGTTCACTTCTTGTGATCTTGATGTGATCCGTCTGATGATGCAGCCCAGGACAAACTTACTTATTTCATAGGTATTTCTGTTGTGCATAAGTGCTGGATTGGAATGTTAGCTGGACAGAATTATTTCTCTCCTACTGTAAATGTGACCTTGTAAAAAGTGCTAAGTGAGGTAGATATTACCTGGGGGAGACAGCAGCACAAGATGTAGAGTCATAATGTCTCCAGTGGAGCTCTTGGTTATACTGTGTTGAGGCCACCTGGGGACAGAGATTGGCAGCCTGACAAGAAAGACACCTTCCCGATCAATTTGTCTGTCTAGTCAAGTCCTATTTAGAAACTTTGTGTTTACAGATCATTCAAGTGGTAGGCTTTAATGGCTTCAGAGAAGCTATTAAGAGTTTTCAATTGAGGGAAGTGTGGCAGTAACACCAAACACTTGAGAAGGCTTTGTAGAAAACAGAGCAGAAACAACTTTCTAGATTAATTGACTCTCACTAAACACATTTTTACAGAAGACATAATTAAGCAGGGTTGTCAGTTGTCAGTCTTTCTAAGGATTGAAAGAACAGCTTTTCCAAGGAATGACAGAACAGCTGACCCAAGAAGAAAATTATCTCTTTGGTTAAAAATATTAACACTGCTTTAAAAGTATGACTTGTTAATGGAATAGAATAGAAGAGAATTTTTATTGGCCAAGTGTGATTGGACACACAAGAAATTTGTCTTGGTGCATATGCTCTCAGTGTACATAAAATAAAAGATACGTTCATCGAGAATCATGAGATACAACACTTAATGATAGTCATAAGTTACAAATAAGCAATCAGAAAAGTTTAATAGTATTAAACTCATATGGTATCCAGATAGAAAATTTAGCCACATACAGCAGATAGGGAAATTAATTTTAAAACCACCTAAGACATGATTGTAAACAACTCTTTTTCAGTACAGTAAATGAACAATCCTTTGGAAAACTGAGGGGGGATGGCAATTTTATGGAAAGTACAGAAAAAGTATAAGAAATTAGAAGTATTAGATCATCATGTGCATAATAATGTTAGTTTCATTGTTGCTTGCTGAGAACATTACTGAGCCTCCTGTACTTTTTGCATTCATTCAAGCTACCTTTTCTTTTGAATCAAAATCAAAAGGAAAGGTATTCAACCAAAAGGTATTCAACCAACTAGCACATATCTAGTGCTCCTATAGACAAAGTTATACAGCCACTTCAGGAGTTAATCACATGCATCATTTAACATTTC